CGTTTGCTTTGCTCCATGTGGAACTAGTTAGGAGATCTTCACCCCCATCTAAACAAATGTAATGGCTTGACTGTTTATTTGCTAACTTTTCCAAAATGGCATTAACACTAACTGATAAAAATAAATTTAAATGTTGAAACCTGCTCAGTTGATGTCAAACGCTGATAGATTTAGTGCATCTAAAATCATTTAACAGATGAGCGAATCTTTTGGCTGAAATGGCCACAGTTTTATCTGACTGATGTAAGACAGCACCATGAAATATTGCCGGTCAAACGCAGGTCATACATCCCAGAATGCTTCGAGGATGAAGCACTGGAAACATTTTTGGGTCGTGTCTTCACACTTAACTGATTCTTGATGAATGCCGGGATAGAAGTGCAAAATCAAACCTTTAGGTATCATGGGGTTTTTATTTGAATTTTTGTGAAACCTGCCTCAATTTTCTCACAAAATGTTTTTTTTCCCGTGTCAGTCACTCAATTTGTGTCGACATCCATACAGATTCAAATACTGATTAGGAAATATTGCATTGGAATATAGTTTGGTTTCAAACTGATTTCTGCTCCATTTCTTGAATTGTCACTATAGAAAATCTTACTGTTCACAAATTAATATTTAGCACATGTAGTATTCTGCTGTTATTAGCTTGGTATTTATAAAAAAATCTGTGGCTTGAAATAAATGTTAACTAAAAATAAAATACAAAATACCTTAAACTTGTTTTATTTCAGCTAGTAGATAAGGCAACTTTTCTCATTTTCAATAAGTTAAACTTGATGTATTAAAATAAAACTATATCCGAAAAAAAAATATTGTAAAAAGAAAACGGAAAATATAAAGTCAAAATTCTAAATATTAATAAAAAATCATTTTCATTTAAAAAACAACAAAATTACTTAAAAATGAAAAATATAAAAACGAAAACCTTCAATAAAAAACTTGTAAAAATGACAAAAAATTACTAAAACTATAAAATTACACAAGGAAAAATAAAAATATGAAATTAATATATTTTAAGAATATATTTGTATGCATAGGAATTATTGAGCTATTGTATATTTATATAGAAGTATTGCATTGAAGTATTGAGTTCTGACGATGGCTGGTTTTGAATTAAATAGTACTTTTGTGATAATGGTTAAAGGGTTCATATGATGTTGCTAAAAATAACAGTATTTTGTGTATTTGGTGTAATGAAATGTGTTTATGTGGTTTAAGGTTCAAAAAACACATTGTTTTCCACATACTGTACATTATTGTTTCTCCTCTATGCCCCGCCTTTCTGAAACGCGTCGATTTTTACAAAGCTCATCAGTCTGAAAAGCGAGGTGTGCTGTGATTGGCCAGCTATCCAGTGCGTTGTGATTGGCCGAATACCTCAAGCGTGTGACGGAAATGTTACGCCCCTTACCATACTGTGATGCCGTGTCAGGCGATGAGACAAAAACATTAAAACCAATTATAAACGAGGCATTCGTTGCATCCAGTAGGGACATAATTACGGATTATAATGACTTATACTGTCTTTTTACGTGTTGCGTTGCATCGCGCCGCGTAAACATAAAACCATGTCTGCATTTGTGATCGGAGAAACAACAAACTGTTGTTTGTTGCCCTACTCTACACTTCTCAAAACTCGCGTTCGAATCGTCAGTGGCAAATTCTTTAAATATAAAAAACGTACTTACAGTCTGTGAGTCAGAACAGCCGGCATTGTAGTCTACTCTACCAGGATCAGGAAACACATCTGAATATTTGGGTTGAACTGTTCTGGAACAGTGTTGTAAATACAACTTAACCACTGATTTCTAGTCATGTCCTCTTTTGGAAGGCCAAACAAAGTGCCACACAGCGCCTTCACAACATGGTGGCGGCGGCAACAACAATACTACAGCGAGAATAAAAGTTACGCCTTCTTTCTTTGCGTGAACATTTGGGCGGCGTTATGCAAATCTTCCCACACAGTGACGTAGACATGTGGGGGCGTGTTAGAACGAGCCGTCTTAGGTAGGCGTGGCTGACTCTTAACTTTTATAAAGAATATCTCTTTGGATTTGAGACTTTAGTCTTTGCAACTTTACAGATCTTCTTTATGCACCAAGAGCTTGTAACACTCCAAAGAGAAAGGAACAATTGAAATCGCATCATATGACCCCTTTAAGTGATCATCTCTGACTCATTTCGAAGTGGAAAACTTTTTGGTGTGTTTCTCAAGAATCAGTGCTGGATAAAAAATATATAAAAAAACTCCTTTTGTTGGATCACATGGACTGTAAATAAAGCTCTTTGTAGTAGCAGGATGTCACGTGTCCATGACACAACACATAAATGAAAACCAGCCTGAATTGAAACCAGTCCCACCTATAGACAATATAAAAGAGACTGTACATATACACTTTGACTTGAGGACATTAAATGTGAAGTCAGTGTTTCTCAGATGTTTCCAGCCCTGCCTGCATTTAACCGGTTACAATGAAGCTGAAGGGAATCAACTGTCCTTGAACACCAATCTGATGAAAAGAAGCAGGATTTATCTGACATTTTTGGCAGCTTCAATTCCCACAATTCCTTTGTACAATCGTCTCTGTGTTAGATAAGGGGGAGTTTTTGGCTGAACGGCACTGGACTGAATATTTCATCCAATTAAAGGCACATGCTGAATATAAAATCATATTCTTAAATGCATGTGAACATGCTATAAATAAGTCTGATTTCTTGGAAATGTTCAGTGCATGTATGGTCAATGATTTGAAGCAAACCTTTAACAGCAAGTATGAGCAAGAGTAATAATAATACTTGGCCTAGCAAACACGTCATTCAGATAACAGACGTTGAAATATGAAGTGTTACCAACTGATAAGATAAAACTATTAAAGACATCTGCACTGCGAATGTCGAACAGTTTCAAAACTTGTCATTCCTTTCCGTTTTGAGCTCATTTACAGCAAGAGCAGAAACATTATGGCAAAAGATGCTGTACAACTTTTTTATTTTATTTTATTTTATTTCGAATGTTAGGTATAAACAAATATAAAACATACCAATAAAATAAAATATATATATGTGCATCATTTATATGCTATACACACAAAACTTCTTATAAAGTCACGGATGCCAATCATTACAAAATAATTGGTTCATGTAAAATGTCTGGAGCTCTAAACGTTATAAATGGTTTAGAATTATTACTTTTTAGAAGAAAAAGTTCAGTAGCTTCAATTAAATCAGTTGGACTGATTTTGGCATATTGTAATATGTTCATCTATGCAACTTAATGCACATCATTTTTTATAATGTATATTTCACAACCAATTTTTGAAAATGATGTATTATCCTTGTCGAAGTTGTGCTCTCTCTCTGCACAATCTTACAGCAATCCTCCAAAAATACTCAACATTGCTCTGGAACATTCAACTAAAAACAATAGTTGCATTTCACACATATTGGCAACAGCATATAGGTGTAAACATGAGCCACAGTCTTCTTCACATTCAGTGTGTAAGTCACTCTCTGAGCTCAGTCCTCATTTATTTTAAGGCCATCCGGTTTTCTGTGACTAAATCGGTCACAAGAGAGTTTCTGTTCTACATAGAAGCAAAAAAAAAGGGAGACATCATTCATATTCACTAAATATAGTGTCCATAAAAAATTGCAGCATTAGCAACTTGCAGTAGACAGCAGGTTCTGTTGTGCAGGGTTTAGATGAGCGATTGTCAACAACTCGAAACTAAGAAAGGAATGTATTTTTCCATAAACAACATGGGTGAGGGGACAGAAAAAAAAAAATGTAATAAAAAAATATGATTGTTTTTCCTCCATAAATACCATGTGAGAGGGACATTTTTTATTTAAAAAAAAGTTTCCCCACATTAATAACATGAGAGGTGAAGTTAAAATGTATGCCAGAATACATGGTTTATTTTGGAAGAGGAGGAATATTTGACGTTTTCCTTTTCAGCTGTAGAAAAATATTGAGAAAGCAAAGACAGTTCTTAAGTGTCTAAACCTAAAGATTATAATTAATTTTAAGGTATTTAATTCAGCTAATGCTAGCGCAAGTTTTACGAGATTTTAAGACGAGATGGCACTACTTTTTTCCACTGGCAAAGAACAGACTTACAATAGTTGTATTCCAATTTGCATATTATTATTATTATTAATATTTCAATGTCACCTGCCCATTCAGTCTTAAAGGTTCCCTGAAACAGGAAGACAGGGCGGGACATTTCAAGCAGCCCCGCCCCTTTTTAAAATAGCCAATAGCGTTCGTTTATATCACAGCTTGGGCTTAGAGCCGTTGAGCTCCGTAAAGTCGCATTTGACAGGGTATGCCAGCCACAATCTCATCCATATTGCTATAAAATATTGCATTCTGTGTAGAATTCAAATAGCTCCGATACATTTTGTGGTCTGCGCCGACTCGCGCATGTGATCCGCTCCGTGCTATCGTGTCTCTGGACCGGAGCAGAGTGTGTGTGCGGTGCGGTGGTTAGCGTAACACAGGGCGAAACCAGACTTCTTTTTTTCCTCAATGGAAAGCATATTTACACTGTTTGAATCGTTCCCTGTCCCCTATATAGTGCACTACATGCCATTCACTGTACAGAAAATACTAATTCTGTGGACAAGTGACCGATTTCAGCCGCGGCTTCAGCGTCTAATTATAGTGTAGGGGGCGGGCGCTTCGGCTTCTAGAGAGCATCTGATTGGACAGAAAGTTTGATGAGAAGCTGAAGTACGATGTGACGTCAAAAAAATCGTTGAGCCATTTTGGCGGAAGTGACGAACTGCAAGCTTTGAATGCTTTATCTTCTAAATGCTAATTTTGTCACTGTTTTGGAGCGCACTGCCTTATAGATAACCTTAAGATTAACATATTGATACTAACACCCAAAAAACTACAATTTTGATTTCATGGGGACTTTAACGACTTGGTGATCAATCGGATTTTCCCGGAAGGAGGCACTCGATGCTAAGATTCGATTCGAGCTCATAAATGTAAACGGGAGACAAAATCCTGGAAAAAATGGTCTCTGGAGAGATACAGGTAAGCGAACTCTAATATTGTAATGGACCAATGTTTAACATTTAAAACGTAATTTCGTCATACGCAAAGGCTTGACGTGAAGAAAATAAATCTAACCTGATTCTTGAATCCGCCAGTCGTTTTTCACTGTAAATATGCATTTAAAACTAAACAATCATAATGCTGTGGAAACATTCAGCCCGATAATGTAGGTACAACATTTTGCAAGTCCATTTTAATCTACAAGCGTCAGTTTCTTGTCATGTTGGGTAGCTCCGCCCCTCAGTGAATCCTCATTGGTTCAGAATCAGCATACAGCTTTATGATTGGCTGTGATTTTAACATTACAAGAAGCATTTTCACATTCACGTGGTGTTAATGTTCAGAGATAAACAGCTGTTTAACGTATTAAATCTGATAGTTAACATTTCCTGATCCTTACTGTTGGATAGGACGGTTAGTAAGACTCATTTCCATGAAATTTACCGATATATATGTGCCTCGGTTAGATAGTGGTTTTCATAAAATCGTATTGTTATGAGAGTGAGCGACGCGACAAAGCTAGATTGAAATCACGAGTTGTCATGGTAGTCTTTAGCAAATTAAACATAAAAAAGTAATATAAAAAAGATTCATGCTGTGCAGAATTTCTTCTAGATGTGTGCGGATATAATAACTAGCTTACCAAAATGTTACGTTTAGAAATGTCCCTAAACCTACCGCCACAGGAAAATAACCTTTCTTTATATATATAAAAATAATAATAAAGTCCCTATAATCCAGTTATATATAATATATATAACACACATGTAAAATTGTATAAAATATCTAATTGACAATGTGAGAAAGACCTTTTTTGGCATCTGTTCCATGTTTAGACTTCTCTTCCTGGATTTCTTACCAAGCGAAACATTAATTCTTGTCTTCTGATGGCTTAGAAAAGTTCACTTTCTTTCCCATGCCGAAAGAATCGCTTCCAACAGCAGAAGTACGGCTAGTCAGTAAATGTCAACCGGTGGTTTTGAGGTTGTCATGGAAACAACCAGTTCCCCTTGGAGAAGTTCGTCTTTGTGCTCTGATACAATAAAGTCCCTAACGGTTCATTAGATGTCAGGCGATCTGTGCACTTGGTGATATGAGCGTGCATAAGACAAAATCCGGTATAAACACGGTCTGTAGAGAAGTTTAAAATCTAATATTCAATGTTAGTTCATGCATTCACTCGGTGCCAGTGTACAGTGTGTGTGGCTGTCTGTACGAGACATGGTGCAGCATCCAGTGCTCTCACAAGTCAAAGGTCAGGCTCATACAGGCCTGCTGTAGGAGTGATGGTTTCTGTCCGTGTCTGCGATCTGAAGGCTGGGCTTGCGTTCGCTGTCTTCGTTTTCAGCATTTTCAACATCCTGGCAACGAGGGGGGCGCTCTTTAAAGAAGTCAGAGACGTATCGCACCTGTGACGGAGAGGAGAAAGTCCTAATGCAGCTTGCAGATTTGTAGAACACTGAAATAATAATAATAATAATAATAATATTATTATTATTATAAATATCTATTGTTTTATTATTATATATTATTATTTATTAAATACATATATTATTATAGATTTATTGTTATATGTATTAAATAATAGATTAGATTTATTTAACCTTTAATCAGGAATATATATATACAGTGGTGTGAAAAAGTTTTTGCCCCCTTCCTGTTTTTTTAATTGTTTGCATATTTGTCACACTTAAAAGATTCTGATCATCAAACAAAATTTAACATTACACAAAGATAACCTGAGTAAATATAAACTGCAGTTTTGAAATGATGATTTCATTTATTAAGGGAAAAAAGCTGTCCAAACCTGCCTGGCACTACGTGAAAAAGTAATTGCCCCCTAAATCTAATAACTGGTTGTGCCTCGCTTTGCAGCAACAACTGCAATCAAGTGTTTGCGATAACTGGCAATGAGTCTTTCACAGGAATTTTGGCCCACTCTTCTTTGCAGAATTGTTGTAATTCAGCAACATTGGAGGGTTTTTGAGCATGAATGGACTGTTTAAGGTCATGCCACAGCATCTCAATCGGATTTAAGTCTGGACTTTGACTTGGCCACTCCAAAACCTTAATTTTGTTTTTCTTGAGCCATTCAAAGGTGGACTTGCTGGTATAGAGAGCAGAATTCATGGTTCCATCAGTTATGGCAAGTCATCCAGGTCCTGAAGGTGCAAAGCACCCCCAGACCATCACTCTACCACCACCATATTTGACTGTTGGTATGATGTTCTGTGTTGGTTTTACGCCAGATGTAGCGGGACACACACCTTCCAAAAAGTTCAACTTTTGTCTCATCAGTCCACAGAATATTTGACCAAA